TTAACCTCAAATAAAAGTGAGTTTAGCCTGTTCAATGACGAAAGGTTAGCCGTTCTTCTATCACTCTGGTTTGTCCTCTTCTCAACTTTGACGGGGCAGCAATACGTCCACTCACGCAAGCCACCTCATTCCATACGCTGCTTCCATCCACCGCGTCACTTCGAGGAGGGCGAGAGTAGGTCAAGAGAGGAGAAAGAAGAGAGGAGAAAGATAGAAGAGACTGAATGAGAGAAGAGGTAAGAGAGAGGCGAAAGGAGTGAAGAGAATGGAGAAAAGAGAAAGATAGCAGAGATTGGAAGAGAAAGGAGAGAGGAGAGGTGAGACGAGTGAGAGAACGGGAGTGGAAAGGATCGCTGTCCTAACTTCCGTCGTAATTGCGAAACATTGGGCTTATTACCTTGGTCTTGTGTTCTCAACGTTCTTCTGATCAACTAAGGTCATGCCTTGTTTAAACGAGTCCACTATTGGTCTGAGGCGCCACTTCTACTCTGACGATCTAATCGCATTTGAAGAACTTTCCAGTCCACTTTACTGCCGGTCGGTAGGACATGACGTCCTCACATAACCTCTCCGCTGTTGAATAGACCTCATCAATACCACACCCCCTCCAGGCCCCAACAACTCGGGCCGGTTGGTTTCGAAAGCTCTTCCACTGCACGGGGCTCCCGCTCAGTTTGTCAGTTGTTTACCTTGCCTTGAACTCTTGATGAGTCGAATCTATCTTACTACCTCAGGCCAACTCAGGTCACGGCTCTGCAGACACAGCCACCTAATTTTTGTACCCTCGGCAATTGACTTTGTTTCTGTGCTTTTAGATCTTACACTCTGTGTCTTTGTCTTTGTGAGTATGTTGTTATCTGTATTTGCGCTCCTATCATGTCTTTCGCTGCCTGGCCCTGGCTACTTCTGTAGACACGCTTGCCTGTTTGTCTGTTTGCCCATCCATCTCTCTTTTGCCTGCTTGTTGCCTTGTCTAGGCTTTGGTGACCGTCTGAGGTCAGCCATGCTAACCAGCTAGCCACAGCTTTTTTGAGTTGGCCCACAGTTGACATGGCTTTTTCTACCCACTTGTCCATCTGTCGGCCTGTCTGTGTGTGTGTGTGTATAAAGATTGGGTTCCAACATGTCTGTATGTATGTCTGCTTGGCGATTTGAGTCGATCAACCGAGAAAGGAGAAGACCAATGAACGTGTTCTTATTAGGAACCCACCTCGAGGTGCTCCTCTTCTGTGAAAGCGCCAGCCAAGACTTACGAGCATGGCAACTTTCGGCAACCCGGCCTCTCTTTAGATCGCCCCCTGAGCCTAGTTGGTGACATTTTTTTTACGAGTTCACTTTCATCTTCCGTTTCGCGTCGTCCCCAAAGTCAACTGGCGCATGAAGCGGGACCGGTCACTTTGCGAGACACATTTGTGCTGCTCATTTCATCCACCAAACCAAGAGTGGTGTGCCAGAGCTGGCACCATTTTGGGGCATTTATGGGCTTGTCAGCGGAACTGAGGCGAAGAGTTTGCCAATGACTGGCCAAGCAGATTAGCTGCACGATACAAGGGGCTTACTTCCCGCCATGGTAACAGCACACAATCTCCCATCCGCACTTTTCGGGCCCATGTACAACCCTATTCTCAGCATAAGTGACAATACATCGGCTACTCATTTTGACGCATGAATACTACTTTGCGTTGCTAAGACAGTTGGAGCCTCTTATGGTCCCAGTCAGAAAAGGATGATACATTTTATAATCAAGTTTTTATACTTCCCTGCTCCCCGCACAAGAACCTCAACACCGTTCTGGAACTGGATCACTCTGAAAGGGAGCCC